CTCAAGAACTGTGGGAATTCTCTGTGGGAATTTTTGTTGTTTTAAGCCATCCAGTTTTTGGCACTTTGTTATGGTAGCCCTAGAGACCTAATACCATAAATTACTTTGCAAAATAGCATTTTGACTGGACTCTATAAGGCTAATAACAAAACAAAACAAAACAGAACAAAACAAAACAATAGTGCACAAATGCATTCTAATTAACAAATTTGAATATCACAGGAGTATGGGTTTGAATTTTGAGCTATTTTACATGTATAGTAAGGCTGAACAAGTAAATGAATATATTGTAAATAATGTACAGAGATTTCTGTTTTGGACAATGATGTCACAGATATAGAAAGAAGAAAGGCTAGATGAACTTGGTGGTGTTAGATTAGAATTGGGAGCTATCAATATACATTAATGCATATATATATATATATATATATATAATACATATATGTGTGTATATTCACATGCAATTGGACATGAGAATATAAATGTATGTTTGTGTGTGCATGTATGTGCATGCTTTACTGTTTATACATATATATTCAAGGTCTACCCACTGAGAGGTCCTAGAAAAAATGGTAAACTTAGAGCCAAGATATAGTTTCTAAATGCTATTATTCAATAAATAAAACCAGGCCTCCTTAGAAAAGTGGGAGATTCCAAGTCTGAGAGAGGGTAACCACAAGATGAGGCTAGACCATCTTGTACTTTTTGTGCGTTTCGTGTAATTTCTGAACTAAGAAAGTATTCAAAAATAGATGTGCATTGAAAGGTCACCAAAACCAATATGAAAAAATGGCCAAGACCAAAGCTAGAACTATTAAAGCAAGAAGTTAAATAATGATAGTACTGGATTAAACTGAAAGAAAAAAAAATATCCTTGAGTCTATGCTTACATAAATAAATAAATAAATAAGAAGTAGAAGACACAACTCTTCCTTAAAAATAACTTCAATTAACAGATGTAGAAGGCATGTGAAAAATTGAAATCAGAAGTAGACACAGCAATAAGAATTATTGTGAGCAATATGCACCAATGGCAATGGATGCTACAATGAAGGTGCAAAGGAGATGAAACAGGATATTGCAGTCTCAAGAACCTCCTCTAAAATAATTATTAATTACAAAGGTTAAAAAGGAAAACAGTACTTTTATAGTGGATAAAACACAGACATCACACTATCTAAGTGATCAAGGTAAACATCATCAGCAGTAAGACATATACCCACATCATGTATCTCTGATACAGTAAACTGAGAAGCACAAATTACCTTGACAGTTTTCTTCAAAATCCACAACCTCAATCCAATCATGGGAAAACACGACACAAACCCATATTGAATGAAATATTACAAAACAATTGATCAGTATTTAAAAAAAATTTTAACATTGATTTATTTTTGAGAGACAGAGACAGATAGAGCTCAAGCAGGGGAGGAGCAGAGAGAGAGGGAGACACAGAATCCAAAGCAGAATCCAGGCTCCGAGCTGCCAGGACAGAGCCTGATGCAGGGCTCAAACTCATGAACCATGAGATCATGACCTGAGCTGAAGTCAGCCACTCAACCAACTGAGCTACCCAGATGCCCCATTGGTCAATAAATACTTTTTGAAAGTAAGGTCATGAAAGACAAGGATAGACTAAGTAGCTGTCACAGACTGAAAGAAACTAAGCAGACATAATGATCAATTGCAAATCCTGGAAGAGATAAAGGCATTAGAGAAAAAAAAAAACTGGTAAAATGTGAAGTCTATAGTTTGCTTATAATATTCTATCAAGGTTAATTTTTTTTTGTTTTTGCTTTGATTATTGTGCAACGGTTATGCAAGATGTTAGCATTTGAGGCGAGTAAGTGTGGGTATATGAGAACATGACAATTATTGTAAACTTTTTGTAAATTTACACAAAAAAAAACTTAAAAAAGAAAAGGAATGCTAATGATATTCTTAGGTAAGAAAATACATTGATCCATGAAACAAGGGCATAATGCTATAAGAATAGCACTTATGGAACAACAACAACAAAAATACCTGTTGCAAATTAAAATGATGAGAATAGAAAGACTCAGTAAATGTGTTTATAGATTAAGTTGAAGAATTCTCCTATATGATAAAAAGTTAATCAAAATAAAATAGTAGAGAGAGGATAAGAAAATTGGAAAAGGACTTCAAAATATCAGGCATACAGGAGGGTAGACAGAGTAAGAAATTATTAACAAAATAATTTGAGTACACTTCCTAATTGAAAGACCCATAAACATCTTTATTTGTTTATATCAGGATGGTTTCATAGATATTTATTTTATTTATTGAATTATCTAATGCTAATGTTTAGATGAAAATAGATTTAAAAAGATACATTTGTGTGAAATTTCAGAACAAAGACAATAAAAGGTTTTCAGAGAAAGAAAAAAGGATCTTATTATAAAAGTCAAAGATATAAGAACTTTTTATTCTTAGTGAACTATTTTTTAGCAGCATTGAAAGATAATAATATTTTGTAGCGTAAAGTATGTTTCAAATTAGAATCTAAACAAGCTAAACTATCATTCAAATGTGAAGGCAAAGTACAGATATTTTTATATAGGTAATGTCTCAAATATGTACCTCCAATGCACTTGTTTAGAAAGCCATGAGAGGATACAGATTTTCAAATCGAGGGAGTAAACCTGGAAGTGGAAGTCATGGGTGTAAGCACAAAGCAGCAGCAAAGAAAAACTGAGGATGAAAAAGTGTATTCCTTTCCTACCCTCAAAAAAGGAGGCTTTGGAATATGAAAATTCATAGAATACTGAATGCATTTAGTATATGAATAAAAGAATTGTCCAACTGGAAAAGAATAGGAGGATAAATTAGTGACAAGTATATGGAAAATCAAGCAGAAAAATAGAGGTAATCATTAACTCCAAAGAAAACAAAAGTTTTGCAGTAAAGGAAGAGTTCTTCATAGCTTACTATATGACTCAGCTGTGAATAGCAGTGGTTTATATAAAGTTGACTATCGAATAGACCAAAAATTACTCTCTATATATTGGGAAATTAGAAGCATGAATACGTGATGTAGATATAGCTGTATGACAGAAAGCTAAATCCTAATTTTCCATTATGACAGTCCAATGACAATTTCTACAATGTTAAAATATAGAAATAAAAATAAATTGTGAGTTATATAAAAATATGAAAGAAAATACCAAAAGAATAAATTCTAAAAGTCAAAATGAGCAGTCTCTAAGATATAATAAGACAATACATTGTAGAGCTTCATGAATCTTTAAACAATGTTTATGAATAATATTCATAAATATTAAAAAATATAAAATAGAAACAAAGAAGAAACAACTAATTGATTCCCCTCCCCCCAAAATTCCAAAGCTACTAAAATTATTTTGGTTAATAGTAAGAGAACACTTATTATGTGCTAGGTGCTATTCTAAGTGTTTCACGTTTATTAACTCAATCCTCTTAAAGATTATTCCCATTTAATGAATGTGACACTATGTTAAAAGAAATTAAGCTATGTTCCCAAAGTTATATGCAATGAAATGGCAGTGACAGAGTCTGAGTCCAGTCAGTTAGTCTCTGGAGCATTGTCTTTATTTGTTTTGTTTTGTTTTAATGTTTATTTATTTATTTATTTTGAGAGACAGAGCATGAGTGGGGAAGGAGCAGAGAGATAGGGAGACACAGAATCTGAAGTAGGCTCCAGGCTGAGATGTCAGCACAGAGCCCTATGTGGGGCTCCAGCTCATGAACCTCCATGTCAGAGCTTAACTGATGGAGCCACCCAGGTGCCCCTCTGGAGCATGCGTTTTTAACAGCAATGCCCCAAGATCTCACACATGATAAAAAACTTATGAAGGGAATATGCAATCATGTGGACAGATCCCTGGAGGTGATGGCAGAATATCTGGGTCTACATTTTGACTGTGCCACTTACCAACTATGAAGCTTTTGACAAGTCAGTTAATTTCTGTAGATTTTAGCTTTCTCATCTGTACTTAGAATAACTTCTGAGTGCTAATGTCAACATGTAATAAGGTTATATAGAGTCAAGAATAGGAAACAGCGGACATAAAGCCTACATAGGGAATTGCATACAATAGGCACTCAGTAAATACTGATTTGAATTAACAGGCTACTGAAATGGATACGAAGGTCAATATTATGTTAGTTCACCTATGATTCTTAATTCTACCTATAGCTTCTTCAGAATTTCTAAGGAAAAGCCACAGATACTCTAAGGATAGCTAAACCACACATATATTTTGATGATTATAAGTCTAAATTTCCTTGTACATATATTATTTTTCCAGAATCAAGCCAGGATAATTATTAGTTAAACCATCATGATATCCTTGACATTTTTTTTTTCAAAATGCTCCTTTTCCAAAAATAGTTTGTTATTTGAAATTAATTCATGCATCTGACTTAATTGCACTTCTTAAAATTATTCTCTTGGGTTGTTCTGCATGAATAATAAGTTCACTCAATACTTTTACACTTCAGAGATGAAATTTTGACAACTTTAAAATAAATTTGCTTCTAAATAATCAGAATCTACAAAACTATTGTAAAAGAGCAGGTTTAAAGCATCAAGGCTAAGACATTTTCATTGTCTCTGAACATTTCCCAAGTGTCCGCAGAAACATTTGGCCTCAGGATATTAATAGTTGTTATGAGAAAAAAGGTGTTCTGTGATGATAAAATATTTAGAAAATGATGAGTTAAAGTAAGATAGGTTTCTTTTCTGAGAAACTTTTCAGAGTCTCTAATGTGGAAGCTTGCGCTTGAATCTCTAATGAGAAATAAAATGTGCACTGTCTTCCAAAATTGATTCAACCATAGTATTTTTTTTAATGTTCTTTTGGTCTTTCTTTGTTGTTTCTGAAGCTTCCATGAGACACAATTTTCTCTCAGAAGAAACTTCAGAAACTAAAGGTCTAACTAATAGAAGTAAGAAGGTTGATGCTGGTGCCTTACTTTATAATTTTATGTTTTATTTTCAGTCCTTTCTTATCTACTTCCCATTCCATAAAGTGGATGTTTCTCTCCAGAAGTCAAGTGAATAAGGTATTTTCCCTAATTACTCCTCATAACTTATTTTTAGTATTTTATACCAACAGAAAGAAAAAATAAGTTCAGAAACCTAATGTGTAAATGAGTTGACATATAGTTCTATCTAAAACTCAATTAATATGAAACAGCAACTTTTACCAAGAAAAATTATTCATACTTTTGAAATTAGAAATATAAACCAAGTTAGTATTGAATAGTGGTTTAAACTGTAGGTACTGAAGTTTGGGGTGGAATCATATCTGAGCACATAATTCTCCAAGATTTAGTTTTGCAAGTGTTATAAAACAGAGATGCAAGTCTGGCATGTTTTCTAATTTGGGTAGAGGAAGTTTGGGGGATTTTTCCTAAGAATATTTTATTCTTAGAGAATAAAGTGAACAGTAGCCATACAATTAGTTTCTAGAAAAACAAATTTGTACAAAACTATTGTATTGCATATATTAAATTAAAAAGTTAATATGAGAAACTTGATTTAAAAATTTAGTAATGAATTTCTAACTTTACATACTGGAACTAATCACTTTCCAACTTCTGAAATATGGAGAGCAAGGAAAAATAATCAAGTTTGTGTTTTCTAGATCAACTGCCATAACAAATCATTATTATATTTAGAAATATATTTGATTCTAAACATATACAAGAGGATAATCTGGATCATTTATGGTAAGAAAAATATTTTAAATGGACTATCCAGGTAAGTGAATTAAATTATACACTATGTATAAAATGGGCACTAAATCTGCTCAAAACATCTATCAACTCCAGAGACATCCTGAAAAGAATCACTAGGTTAAGAGTCACCCCACATGTGTAGCCTAGTCTCTGTTCCTTCTTAGATCCCTTTCTGCAGTATCAAAGGTTGACATCAGTTATTGAGAGCAATGTTTTCCTTTGTCTTAATGATACTATAACCTACTCCACAGACCCTCTGCTTTTTTCTCTCTGGGTGAAGTAGAAATAAGCTTGACCATCAAAGTTTGCAGACAAGTCTGTCTTTCTCATGCCAAGACTAGCCACAGATGTACCCTGTTCTATGGTGAAGCTAGAACAAAAATCCCTTGGGAAGGTGCTAGGTTTCAAGAACCTGCTAGACATATTGGTTGTTGGGCCACTGTAATACATGTAGCAACAACAATATTTATATTTCACATTTTCTTCATAAAAATTCCCTTTGTGGAAAAAAATGGGAACATTTTATAATTTCTATTTTAATTCTTTCCAATATATATTATTAATGGAAATGAAAATTTTAATGACTCTGATTTTATTTAACCTCATGCATATAAGCATCTTGACAATTTTCCTCTATGAAGAAAATGTATCCGTCAACAAGTACTGTGCATGCATCTTCTTTCTTCACAATTAAAGTTTAACTAAAAGCAAAAGCTACTAATGCATGGCTAATTTTACAATGCAAGCAGATGTTGTTGTTAGAAGAACATCTTCCATTGTTAGCCTCTGGCTCCAGTGACTGCCATACAAAGAATGTAGAGGAAGAAACAATTTGGAGAGCAAGAGATGCCGTTTGCTAGGGGCTCAGAACACGACAGCCAGTTGGAAGTCATTAAATTGTAAGTGCCTGTAAGTGTGACACATAATCTATCTTTTCAGGGTGTCTCAATTACAGATTACCTTTTATAAACATCATTTCTCATCATGAAATTACTTCAAATATTTAGGAAATTTTTAAATTTTTTTTCACATTTTTCACATTTTTTAAAATGTGATAATCTTAACTGATATAATTTAACCTAAATTTATAGTTTTATTTAAAGTCTTTGGTTGGGATTTTTTCCATGTAACTGGAAAGCAGAAAGACTGGTAGGTAGGGTCATAAATGTAAAATAATGAACACCAATCTTGGATTTGTTTTACTCTGTATATGAGAGGACAGAAAAGTCTTGAATATATGTCCACCTGTATATATAAAAGACCAAAAATTCAGTCATATAACTGGGTATTATTCAGGATCATTCATACTTTATTGACTTAAAAATCCTATTTAATTATGCATAAAATAAGGAAAATATCTGATTTACATATATATCTGTGGTCCATTGCAAAAGATGGCCACAGCTCATTCCCATATCTGTGCATGTTTCCTTGCAATGTGACTAGTACTTTTCCATCAAATGGTAGAGTCTATTTCCACTCCTTTTGAATCTGAGCTCACCCTGAGATATTCTTTGGCCAACAAAATGTGGTGGAATTGATATTGTGCAACTTCTGGGTCCAGGCCTCAAGATTACTTTCAGAACCTTCTCTATCCCTTTTAGAACATCCTGTAGCCCTGTAAAGAAGCTTGAGATAGGTTCCTTGAGGGCAAGAGACCACTGGAAAGAGACACCCAACCAAGAAGGCATCAGATGCCCAGTGTGTGTGTAGGGTTTTGGATGGACCATCTGGCCTGCCTTACTAGAGGCACCAGATAACTGTAGCTAAGTATATGACTCAGGTGAGACTAACAGAAGTACCACCAACTTAACCCAACCCAACTGCCAATTCACAGAATCATGAACAAATAAAGAGTTGTCACTTTAAGCTACTGCATTCTGGGATGGTTTGTTTTGTAACAATAGATTACTGAGACAACAGCATTTTACCAAGGAATTAATATATAGAATCACTTATAATTGCTTGAAGGGAAGATATTATCCTTACTACTCTTTACATAATTTATAAACTATATTTATGACACTCTACAATGCATTAAAAATATTGCATCAGCTAATATCATGTGTTGGATATCATTCTAAAATCATTTTCTGGATGGTTCTCATTACTAACTCTTTTTCTGTTTTCTTTTTCTACAAGAAAGTTTTATTCATATTGAATTTGTGCAGTTTGATTTTCTTCTGGCTAAATATATCGTCCTGAGCTCTACTTAATGGTTTTCATGTTATTTTTGCAGAATGTGTTTTAGGGTCATTTGGGACAGTCTTGTTTTCTTTGGATGTGCTACTTACACTTCTTAGTTCAGTGTCATTGACATCCTGTCATCAACTTTATTGTTTAAAATGTGAAATCTCATTAAGTACAGGATCAAACACAGAAGAATACACCTTGGCCCTCTCTCTTCAGCAGATGCAGCTGCATTTCTGACAAGAGTTCTTGGCCACCCCTGCTCTGTCTCCATCCAGAATAGTTCTTGTGGGGCACACTGCTCAGATATGATATAAAGGTATTGTTCTATAACTATTGTGCCTTGGGTAAACACAGCCTCACATCAATATGGATATTTATACAAACACCTTACCTAATCCTTTTTAGTGGTATTCAAATTATCTTGGATGGACCTCTTGATCTACAACATGGGTACCTTTTACTCTAATGAAAGTTCTATCTCTCAGATAACCCTCTACTAAGCCAAATCTAAGTCTCCATGAATCACATCTCTTAGCTAGGGATTATGACTACAATCATAGTCTTAAATTGATGATTTATATTGCTAGATCCTTCCCAGAACTCTCTTGTATATACAGACAAAATTTCTATTTGTTCTTTCTTTGCAGCATGACTATAGCAGCTAAATCAAATAACCACTCCCTAGGAAGAAGCTCTCTGATTTACTCTCAAGGATTATATATTAATTAGGATCCCAAAAGGAGATAGACACCCAAAGGGATAATTGAAAAGAATTTAATAAAAGATGCTTTTCAGAGCTGGGGATAAGATAAGGCTATTGCTATCCCTGGTCTGAAGTGACTGGTGGAGGGTGTGGCCTTATATAACTGGACAAGAGCTCCAGTCATAGAAAGTGAGCTACTGCCAAAACAGTAGTCTTTCACAAAGAAGGAACGAGTTTTAATAAATATCCCAGATACTCCTTCCTCCAGAATTCTCACCTCCAACTGATTCCTTCGGTTTTCCAAATCCAACTAGAAGACAGAGGGAAAAGCAGCCCTGGACTAGAACATAAAGCAGAGCAGATAAGGATGGAATGGATATGGGGAAACAGGGAACAGGGGCATGCAAGTGCTACTGAAGAACAAGATGTCCATTCTGTGTACCAAATATGAAGTGTTAGCAGGGAATTTAACTTTATTGTACACACACAATAAATACATCAAAACAAAACCCTTGCTAGACTTGCTTTTCTTTAACCAGAGAAAAGTGTGGGGATAAAGCACGGGCTCTGAATGTCAGTCGGATTTGCTTTAAATCTTGGATTCATCACTTCTTAGACACATAACCTGGAGAAAAAACTTAAATTTCTGTTTCTTTGTTTCTTTACCTATAAATGGCTATATCTAGGGGTGCCTGGGTGGCTCAGTTGGTTAAGGGTCCAACTTAGGCTCAGGTCATTATCTCATGGTTCGTGGGTTTCAGCCTGGGATCAGGCTCTGTGCTGACAGCTCAGAGCCTAGAGCCTGCTTCAGATTCTGTGTCTCCCTTTCTCTCTGCCCCTTTCCCACTCATGCTCTGTCTCTCACTATCTCTCAAAAATAAATAAATGTTAAAAAAGAGAAATTGAAATGGAGATATCTATACCTACTGTATAGAATTATTATAAAGATTAAACAAAAGGATAACCGTAAAAACTTTAGAATATATTCAGAGTTTAGTAAACTATAAATATAAATATAATATATAAATATAAATATATGAGCTTTTTTTTTCAGTGAAAGTTATTAGAGTTGGTAATCTTAATTATTACTACTTTTTTTTCTCATTTAATGACCAGGATTTTTCCTGAGTGTATGGGTCTCTGGACTCCTGCATCTACTGATAACGTTCTTTCAAAAGCTGACTTCATTTTTAAAAATTAATAAATAATTGATAATACAGTTAACAGCAATTTAAAGACAAAATTAGTTTTAACCTATTATTAATTGAATAATATTATGATTACGATTATAATTATCTATGACTAATAAGATAGAGTATCAGGAACATTGATTGTCAGTTTATAGAAAAGCTTATGACTTGGGTCCTAGGTCAATATAGATGAGAGTCTTCACTCATGAGAATTACTCAGTGTGTTTAATTAAAACTCTTATTGCTGAGTCCATAAGCTGAGTTGATTGGAGCAATCCACATATGAGAGAATACATATATGGGAACTGGAGATGTACTAGAAACACTACCAAGAAACTGACCTAAAGCATTTATTGTACTGAAAATTTTTACATTTGAATTTTTAATAAAATGAATTCACATTAGTATGGACAGTGTTTCTATAGTCACAATTTCAATTGGCTATTGCTTTCTTTTTTTTTCTCTTTTGAAGATTTTGGGATAAAATACAGTTTTGAAAATCTTTCCTATAGCTTTCACATGCTCCATTTTATGATAAGCTCTCATGGGTGTTATTTAATAAGGAAAAAATGATATAGGATACAAGCCATTAGATAAGTACTAGAACAAAAGAACTGATGGTCCAAAATATTAACTTCAAAAGTCACTAGAGTGTTAAATGATGATTTATAAATGCAGCCAAACTTCCACCCTCTAAGAAAATCTGGGAAACATTTATCAAAAGCAATAAATAGTAATTTCTTCAGGGTACTTTTCAAATGGTATTTCATCACTAGTTTTATTTTGATATATTTTTTTTAAAACTCTAATTCCTCATGAAAACAAATTGTATAGCCTATGGTATTACTCTAGCAAAATGATTTCCATAAATAAAGCAAGATGCAATGGAAAATAACATATATAAAGATTAATGCACCAGATTTTTAGGCTTAGAGTGTCAAACTATAATTTTTAACCCTGAAGGTATTGGAAAGAAAACCTCTCTTATGGAAACACCAACAAATACCAAACTATCTGGGTAGCACAAGCAATTTACTCTCCTTCAACTTAAAGAATTGTTGCTTTATGGCCATTTTCCTTGAGTTTATTGATTTCATATGCAGTTTTTTTACAATGACATAATGCATCTGGGCTTCATGCACAGAGACAGAAAGGATAACTAACATTGGTGTCATCTGTCAACCCAAAGTAATCAATGGCACCTGGTCTCTACTTAGAAGTGCAAAGCATCAAGGAGCAAAGTCTCTTCAATCAAAGTGCCTCAAGGACAAGAAAGGTAAGGATGTTGCAGAATAGAAAAAAACAAAAATAAAAAAATCCTAATGTTAAATGTTTGTTAGAAGGTATCATGTTTAAGTTTTACGGCATCTTTTGTCAAATGCCACTTCAGTGGCATTGTAAATGCTTAGTCATTTGTGTGTCAATGTTTGCTCTATCCACTAAGAAAAGGTGTGGGTTCCTTAATAATTTCCAAAGGTTATTAATATGTGTATTCAAGGAATATGGATCCACTTTAACAGAACATAATTAGGAAGGAAATTTGCCCCCACATCAAAGTCCTATAATACTTTATTAATATACAAAAACTTAAATAGAATCTTGTTTTACTTACATATATCTGTGTACCCATTAATTACTGTCAGCAAAAAACAAATAATGAAATACTGAGTAGAAATTTATAATACTCAGAGGCAGACCCAAGCAAAATTCTGGAGTGGATGAAACCATTCTTTCTTCTTTCTAACCTTTCAAGGCCTGTGTTTTTATTCTACAGATCCAACAACTATGCCCACTAATGAGTGGTCTCATGTAATTCCATTGTTGCCCTCTTGTTATGGACTGATTATTTGTGTCATCCCAAAATTCACTTGCTGAAGTCCTTACCTCCTATGTGATGATATTAGGGGGTGGGGCCTTTGGAGGTGATCAGGTCATGAAGGTGGAGCCCTCATGAATGGGATTAGTACCCTTATAAAAGAGAACCCACACAACCATTTATGAGGAAGCTGGTCCTCACCAAACTCCAAATCTGCCTGCACCTTGTACCTCCCAGTCTCTAGAGCTTTGAGAAATACTTATTGTTTAAGCCACCTGGTCTATGGTACTTTTATTATAGCTGCCCAGACAGACTAAGATACCCTTCACCAATTGAACTAGCACAGGATTTTTTTATAGCATTGTAAACAGCTTGCTCTACCCCAACCTCTTCTCAAATAACTTGATTCTCCTTTAGCCACCACAAGTAGGCAGGGAACATCTTGACCACATTGCTCCATCCTTAGACAATGGGACCACTGAGGAACTTTGATTTAATCAGACCTAATGGACACAGAGTTACTGGTAACTCATGATTTATGTAGCCTTCTTTATCACAAAGAGCAGGTTCAGTCAGGCCCCTATCTAAGAAATTTGAAGCAATAATAGAGTTACAGTGAAAGGTATATGTTTGAGTTAAAGAAAAGAAAAGGGAGGGATAAGGTAGAGTAAGAACTGCAGTGGCAAATATGAGTCATTGTGCATGAGAGGTTATGAGGGAGAAAAACCTCAGAGGAAAACAGTTAAGAGAGAGATGAATGAGATACACTCATGGAAAGTGGAGCACTAAGAGAAATCCTGTGACCCCAGAGAAGTGGGAGAAGAGCTTTAATCCTTCATGTTTCCATTTCTAGTCCTATTCACACGAGGCCTGGCTCTGATTATCGCCTTGCCCTTGAGATCCATGAACTTGCTGTATTCAGAAAATGTCATTCAATTTTTCTGAAGTTAGTTTGATTGAATCTTTGTTACTTGTTAAACAATTTATTCAATACGTTATTCACCAAATTAATATGGAAAACAATAATTCTTGCACTTGTAAAGCATTTTCTAATTCATCAAGATTTTCATAAGCATTATCTTTTTTTATCTTATAGCAAGCATGTGAGGTAAGCAGGACAGGTATTGATATCTTCAATTAAAATGAGAAAATGGAATTTCTGAAAGCTGTAGTAATTATACAGACTCCCAAAACTTATAGGAGTAAAAATAGGACTGGAACCTTGAATTTGCTGTCAGTTTTGTCACTGAATTATCTGAACACACACACACACACACACACACACACACACACACACACACACACACCAGGATTTCTAGGTCATTTCATCCCTTATTTTTAAAATACAAAATTTGAGGGGCTCACCGCGCGTCCTGCTGATCACTTAGATTCCACCTACACCTGCCTAAATAACCCAGAAAACCGCCAGAGGATTAGCAGAACGGAGTCGCCGGAGCCAAGCACAGACGAGAGGCCCACGGAAGAGGGTAGGAAGGGCGCCGAGGCGGTGCGCGCTCCACGGACTGGCGGGAGGGAGCCGGGGCGGAGGGGCGGCTCGCCGGCCAAGCAGAGCACCCGAGTCTGGCTGGCAAAAGCGGAGGGGCCTGACGGACTGTGTTCTGACAGCAAGCGCAACTTAGCGTCTGGGAGGTCATAAGTTAACAGCTCTGCTCGGAAAGCAGGAAGGCTGGAGGGCAAAGGGAGGGAGAGCTGTTGAGCCCCCAGACGACAGAGCTCAGTTTGGTGGGGAACAAAGGTGCTCACCAGCGCCATCTCCCCCGCCCATCCCCCAGCCAAAATCCCAAAGGGAACCAGTTCCTGCCAGGGAACTTGCTCCCTCCGCCCAAACACCCAACTCTGTGCTTCTGCGGAGCCAAACCTCAGGCAGCGGATCTGACTCCCTCCTGCTGCCACAGGGCCCCTCCTGAAGTGGATCACCTAAGGAGAAGTGAGCTAAGCCTGCCCCTCCTGCCCCCATGCACCTTGTCTACCCACCCCAGCTAATACTCCAGATCCCCAGCATCACAGCCTGGCAGTGTGCAAATAGCCCAGAGGGGCCACGCCACCCCACAGTGAATCCCACCCCTAGGAGAGGGGAAGAGAGGGGACACACCAGTCTGACTGTGGCCCCAGCGGTGGGCTGGGGGCAGACATCAGGTCGGACTGCAGCCCCGCCCACCAACTCCAGTTATACACCACAGCACAGGGGAAGTGCCCTGCAGGTCCTCACCACTCCAGGGACTATCCAAAATGACCAAGCGAAAGAATTCCCCTCAGAAGAATCTCCAGGAAATAACAACAGCAACCAGGCAATTAGAGAAGAAATTAAAAAATATATGGAAACAAACGAAAATGAAAATACAACAATCCAAACGCTTTGGGATGCAGCGAAGGCAGTCCTGAGAGGAAAATACATTGCAATCCAGGCCTATCTCAAGAAACAAGAAAAATCCCAAATACAAAATCTAACACCACACCTAAAAGAAATAGAAGCAGAACAGCAAAGGCAGCCTAAACCCAGCAGAAGAAGAGAAATAATGAAGATCAGAGCAGAAATAAACAATATGGAATCTAAAAAACCTGTAGAGCAGATCAACGAAACAAGAGTTGGTTTTTTGAAAAAATAAACAAAATTGACAAACCTCTAGCCAGCCTTCTCAAAAAGAACAGGAAGATGACCCAAATAGATAAAATCATGAATGAAAATGGAATTATTACAACCAATCCCTCAGAGATACAAACAATTATCAGGGAATACTATGAAAAATTATATGCCAACAAACTGGACCACCTGGAAGAAATGGACAAATTCCTGAACACCCACACTCTTCCAAAACTCAATCAGGAGGAAATAGAAAGCTTGAACAGACCCATCACCAGCGAAGAAATTGAATCGGTTATCAAAAATCTCCCAACAAATAAGAGTCCAGGACCAGATGGCTTCCTAGGAGAGTTCTACCAGATGTTTAAAGCAGAGATAATACCTATCCTGCTCAAGCTATTCCAAGAAATAGAAAGGGAAGGAAAACTTCCAGACTCATTCTATGAAGCCAGTATTACTTTGATTCCTAAACCAGACAGAGACCCAGTAAAAAAAGAGAACTACAGGCCAATATCCCTGATGAATATGGATGCAAAAATTCTCAATAAGATACTAGCAAATCAAATTCAACGGCATATAAAAAGAATTATTCACCATGCTCAAGTGGGATTCATTCCTGGGATGCAGGGCTGGTTCAACATTCGCAAATCAATCAACGTGATACATCACATTAACAAAAAAAAAAGAGAAGAACCATATGATCCTGTCAATCGATGCAGAAGGCCTTTGACAAAATCCAGCACCCTTTCTTAATAAAAACCCTTGAGAAAGTCGGGATAGAAGGAACATACTTAAAGATCATAAAAGCCATTTACGAAAAGCCCACAGCTAACATCATCTTCAACAGGGAAAAACTGAGAGCTTTTTCCCTGAGATCAGGAACACGACAGGGATGCCCACTCTCACCGCTGTTGTTTAACATAGTGCTGGAAGTTCTAGCATCAGCAATCAGACAACAAAAGGAAATCAAAGGCATCAAAATTGGCAAAGATGAAGTCAAGCTTTCGCTTTTTGCAGATGACATGATATTATACATGGAAAATCCGACAGACTCCACCAAAAGTCTGCTAGAACTGATCCATGAATTCAGCAAAGTTGCAGGATACAAAATCAATGTACAGAAATCAGTTGCATTCTCATACACTAACAATGAAGTAACAGAAAGACAAATAAAGAAACTGATCCCATTCACAATTGCACCAAGAAGCATAAAATACCTAGGAATAAATCTAACCAAAGATGTAAAAGATCTGTATGCTGAAAACTATAGAAAGCTTATGAATGTAATTGAAGAAGATTTAAAGAAATGGAAAGACATTCCCTGCTCATGGATTGGAAGAATAAATATTGTCAAAATGTCAATACTACCCAAAGCTATCTACACATTCAATGCAATCCCAATCAAAATTGCACCAGCATTCTTCTTGAAACTAGAACAAGCAATCCTAAAATTCATATGGAACCACAAAAGGCCCCGAATAGCCAAAGTAATTTTGAAGAAGAAGACCGAAGCAGGAGGCATCACAATCCCAGACTTTAGCCTCTACTACAAAGCTGTCATCATCAAGACAGCATGGTATTGGCACAAAAACAGACACATAGACCAATGGAATAGAATAGAAACCCCAGAACTAGACCCACAAACGTATGGCCAACTCATCTTTGACAAAGCGGGAAAGAACATCCAATGGAAAAAAGACAGTCTCTTTAACAAATGGTGCTGGGAGAACTGGACAGCAACATGCAGAAGGTTGAAACTAGACCACTTTCTCACACCATTCACAAAAATAAACTCAAAATGGATAAAGAACCTGAATGTGAGACAGGAAACCATCAAAACCTTAGAGGAGAAAGCAGG